TAAAAGGGTCTGGTGGGGACCCCTGCTCCCATTGTCATTCCAGCGGTCCTTGCTGTGGGGTGGGCTTTCTTGCTTTTTCTTTTCTAAGGAGAAAAAGGGAAATTTTGATATCTATGTTTATGCTAAATCAGATAATATTTTCAGCCACATTAAAATGGCTTACTGTCTGTTCCATTGGAATAATTTCTCGAACATCTTTTCATTGATTACTGGTCTGTGCATGACTTTGAATCTTGCTGTGTTCTAGGCCAGAGAGAACAAGGAGTACAGGTGGTCTCCCAGTATGCTGTTAACCACAAATATAGCTGTTACTGTTGAGCACAGATATGTCGTAACAGGACCTTTCCCATGACATGATGTTATACAGGAAAAGACTGTACAGGAGAGGATTAGGAAAAGGCATTTCAGCCACAAATGTCTTGGCTGCTGATACTGCTCTTTTCCTGAAGGGCAGTACAGCAGTTGGGGTCCTGAAAGCACATGAAATAAATAAGGACTCTTAGCTAATATTGACTGCTTGGATAATAAACCCTCCTGGCAAAACACATCAAAAGGATTTTGGCTCAGGGTCTTGTAGTTTCACATATTCTGTGAACAATAGCAGCATCTTTACCTGTAGAATACTACTAAGTGGTAAAACTATTTTGAACAAAGAACAAAATATTCCATAAGTACTTAGCACTCAGAGGAAATACAAATGTTTCAAATCTGGCTAATAAAGTATATTTGTATAATCATTTTGAAGGATGAGAAGACGTAACCAACATTTATCACTACATTTCTGGGAATGAGGTCCTGTTTTTCCCTAGAAAGATAAACCAGGAGAGATGCAGAGTAAGTCTTGTTTTGTCTTCTCCCATTTCTAGTATTTTGCATTCAGATAAATGGAAATAACCAAGATTATAAAATGCTATCATCTGAAAACAGTCTTGTTGGAGGTCAAATAATGAAAAAAATATAAACAATATTAAATCTTTATATGTTTTTAATTGTAAATTGATTTTTCCCCCTCTTCTGTTTATAGGTTTTAGCTTTGGGCTTGGCATTTGAGTACCATTTAGCTAGGGACAGGTCACCACGTTGCCAACCCAACGAGAAATCCAGAGAAAAATATCAACATTATTTCATTGCAAAAACAGCAGATTTCCACTGGTGTTTAATTCTTAGAATTTTCAGTTCTGCAGCCAAGCACAACAGTGTCAAAGAATAGGTTATATACAGAAACAACCTTTTGAAAAAAATCTGTCAAGAATAAAACTGCAGCAGTTAATAAGCAAGTTTTTTGTTTTATTTTTGTTGGGCAAACATTTCATTTTCCTTCAAGTATTCAGGCCAACATTCACATTGCTGATCAGATAAATATTTTAACCTAGGTTGTTAAAATACAAAACACACCTAAAATTGTACTTTTATATTTTTATCACTATAGAGAATGATGAAACTTAAGGAATCTCTGAGACCAACTTCCTGTTTTCAGGAAAGGAAGGGATGAATTTTCTCCTTATTGCAAGCCAGGTAGATGTGTCTTCAACGATCTCTATCTTCCTCTGTACTGTCCTCAAAATCAGGTCTCTTTCTTTCTGCAGTCCCTATGCTGTCCCAGATTCTCTTCAGACAATTAGGGGAACTTTTAGAGAAAATGTGGGAAGGTTGGGGATAGCTCAGAGCATTGATTAATATTTTTAAATAATTATATGTACTGTACAACCTATGATAATTACTACATGCTGCCATTGGTGGCTTTAGAATCCCTACTGATATACATCTTGTTCATGAAAGATTAAGACAGGAGAAAATATAGTTCGTGGATCACACCTGTAAAAGAAATACTGTTTTAGATGCAGTTATGATGGTTCTTGCATCCTTCTGGGGGATGGTGGTATGAACTTATATTGAAAGTAAACCCTTACTATTTGTTACTTATAGCTTGGCTAGAACATACTGTTTGCATACATTTGTTCTGCAAGTTTTACAAATTTCATTAAACTGCACTGAGTTGTTGAGATTTAGTTTTCACGTTCAGTTGTCACAACTCAACTTTATGGAACTCATCACAAGTAACATCCCTTAATACAACTCAACATCATAAAGCTGTCTCTCTCCCACACAGACATATTTACCAGTATGTCAGCACATCTGGATTCCCTAGCAGTTAAAATGAGTGTTTTACAACTGCTTGTTAGATAACAGTGTTTTTTAGTTAGTGGTAGGAAGATTGCTTCATTGGCATGATCACTGAAGGGCTAGGAGCTGACTTGGCTCACAGGGTGGAATGTTTCTGAACAAATCACTATTTTTTTTCCCTAAGAAGGGATCTTTTTTTTCCAATAAGGCTACAGTGCTAAATTGATTCATATTAAACAAGTGGTACTTGTAACAAAATGTTGCAGAAAGGAGGAATAAACATATTCTATGTTTTAGCCTTTATTTATACCCGTTTTCAGTTTATTCCATTCCTCCCATCAGTAAGCATTCCAAATTCAATGGGTGTGTTTAAGCGTCATAACCTATTTTAGTCCCACCTCACCCTTACCGCTTGTTTTTGCTTCTGGCTCAAAGGCAGGGAAACAGAATACTTATGGAATTGAGATTTGTAGGAGATGAATATTGGGGTAGGAGGTACACAGATTGTTTTTCTGTATGGTCTTGGAAAACCTTAATGCCTCTCTTAATCTGATCCAAGTTTAGGAGTGCTCACCCTGTGACCTCATATAAATGAGTTATCTATCTTATACATACATTAATATGGTTAATTATGACGATGAAAATTAAAATGAAACACCTATCTTTGCCTATTACTGCTGTGAATTGCTTGCAATGATTTTGTTTTGCTTCATTAGTCAAAAATAATGTAATATCCAGTAATACTTCAGAGGTCTTCACCAAACTGTATTATGATAAACAAGATATGTTTCCATGATATTCACCTGACATTTTCTCCAGTCTTTAGCATTCCTGTGGAAAGTGGAAATTTAAACATGTTTAAGGTGAAGGAGCAATTGTTGTTTCTATGAATAAGAATTTGGTAGAGACAGAGTTTGGTCTAGCAGACCCTTTGCTTAGCATAAATCAGCCACAGAATCTTCAGTATTTTAACATATTCTTTCTCTGACCACCCCTGAGTTTGAGCTGGTGATACATGGCAATGAAATCATTCATTTATAATTGGCCTATAATTTTAATTGCCTGAATGGCTTCTGTATGACTTGGTCTAATCAAGATTATTTTGTGGTAGACAATTCTATGCTATTCCTGTGTATGAGTACTTGTGCACATTTTGCAGCAATAAATAATAATAATAATAATAACTGTAAACCAACTCTGGGTGGTTTAGAAACATGCCTTTTACACGTGGCTGGTTTTCTGTTTTTGTTTTGCTTTTTTTTTTTGCCTGCTGGCCTCAGCATTCTCCATTCTGTAAGTACGTATTGCTAGTGCCGCACTAGGAAATCTCCTTTAAAAGAGGAGTTCGTTTGGTTGCTGTTAGCACATCTATACTGTATTTCTCTTTTTCTGGGTCTTGACAGGGCATCGTCTCAATAAGAGAGTTGCACCTGTTGAAGCCTCTATATGCATTAGACTATACAGCAGTAATGTAGCTTGATTGGTTGCCCTAATATCACCTTTTAGGAAGATAAGCATGTTTGTCAGCATATCTATTACAGATGTGGCCAAAAAAGTGGTACCCCTCCACTTTTTCCCCAAAAATCCCAATTTGTCATGAAATAAGTTGAAACTGGCAGAAGTAAACGGCATCTATGATTCTTTATTTCACCATCCATAATAATAGTCAGGAGAGATATTGTACCACACAGACCTAGCTTCTACTGCTTAAAGCCAGACAGAAGCAAAGCCAGTTTAAATGACTTCTCTGTCACTTATTTTTACAGTTTCTATGTAATGTAGAGTTTTTGCAATCTTTGCAGGACAACATGTGTTCCAAATGCACAAACACCCTATATTATTTCACAAGTCACTCAGTGAATGAATTTCTGTCCAACTAAAATCATGATCACATAGAGCCAAAGCTGTCACCACTTGACTCCAGACAGCACAGGGTGTATTAACGTCTGAAAGAACGCTTTATTCTTCCTTGTTACCTAGCCAAAATACTGTGAGTGTCCTTTTCTTAGACACTGTTTTCTGACTCATGAATTTTGCTTCCTCTAAGCTTTCTCTCAAGGAGTTGAAAATGAAAGGCACCCTTTTGGATCTTGCTAATGATGATGTTAGAGGTGTTTCTACAGGATGAAATGAGGCACACTCAAGGGCTGAGCATTCAGATACCAAACATGCCCAACTTAAGAAACAACTCATGATTAGGACAAAAAAGCAATAATGTTGAGCAAGCCCAACCTGCTCTTCTAGTCTTTGCTCAAGGTGCAGTATATTCCTTTTTTGGTTGGGTTTCTTAGTAATCTGACATTCCTCTCCCCCTTATTCTTAGGGATGATTTAGCACCATATTCATGAACTAGAACAAGCCCAAGCACAGCTTCAGAACTTGCACTCCTTTCTGAGAGAAGGGTTTCGCTCACACTGAATTATGCTTCCAAAGAATTCTGGCTTGTTTTGTCATAAGGATCCTTTCTTTACAAGCCCATGAGCTAATTGTTACTGTAAACTCTTTTAACCATAGAGAAAGAGAATACAAATATTAGGTTTATATAGCTATACTCATTAATAGAATCACAGCATGCTACAATCTCACCTGTTTGAACTGAAGGGTCTAAAGCAGTCTTCTGTAATCAGGTGCCTTCTAGATGTGTGGGACTATAATTCCTAGCCAGCATTAAGGCACCAGCTTGGAGAAAAACTACAGAACTTGTATTTTCTGTCAGGTGTCACCCAAGAAAAAAGTTCCAGGAGAAGTAAAATGTGCAGTTTGATTAACTACATTTTTGTCCATGGACTCAGTGCTACAAAATTTGTTTTAATATTGACATTATAGTATAACTGAAAAAATAAATTGAATTGTAAATATCCTACTGTTTAATAGGTCCTAACGTTAATCCAAATCTCTCTGCATAAATGAAAGTTAAAGAGGTGTACTTGCTTTCTTGATTCCTGTGAAGTTATATCACTTATGCTGCATTACATGCAATTCCTGACAGCTGTTCACTTCTCAAGAGTGGCATTTTAGAGACTTTAGGAAGGAAGAGGTGGGGGAAAAGCCTAGCAGTATGCAGACCAACTTCTGAATTCATAACTGAATGAGGTTGATTCAGAAAAGTTTGTGAGATTCAACTGAAACAGAAGAAACAAATACAAAATTCAAAATTTTCTAGCCTCCATCTGTTGGCTTGGAATTATTCTTTGTAAGAGGCCTACAAATGTAATCAAATTAGTGGAATGAAAAGAGGAGTTTTAGCCATTTGTTGGTTATTAATGATGATGATACAGATTTACACACTGAAATTTGGATTTTCACCACTGAGTCAAACAGAGTAACCTCCAAATCAATCCAAGATAAATTAGATGCTTTTAAAAACACCAAATCAGGATCCAAACAAAATCTTGTTGTTAATGCACACCATTGGGCTAACCCCCCCCCCATGTTTAAAGGACATTTAAAGGACATATGGTTTGTGGGATTCAACTTTCCACATACTCTCTATCATTCCAGAGTATAAGACCTGGAATAATGGATTCAAGTTACAGGAAGGTGGATTTTACTCAAATGTTAGAACCACCTTTCAATAATAAGATCAGTTCACTAATGGAACCAATTACCCATAGTGGTTATGGGCTTCCTTTCATTGTGGGTGTAGAACTAGACAGCCATCTGTGGGATGTTTTAATTTGGATTTGGATTCCTATCCTAAGCAGAAGGTTGGATTCAATGAACTGTCTCCTTCCAATGCTGTAATTCTAAGAGTTTCTTTCAAATGGCTGAATACTATGTATAAAATTAGTGTCCATTTTGTTTAACAAGCCTAGGTGGCTTGGTTTGCATAAAACTTTAAACTATAAAGCATGGGTTTGGATAAAAACATTAACCATAAAAGGTGGGTCTTGTAAGCTGGCCAGAGCCATATATGGTGGGGATGGCATGTCAATTCACAAAATAGAAAAATCACATAAGATGAGGAAAAAATAAATTACATTATGATTTACTCACATTTGTGAACCATGTTGCTGTCTAACTGGCAACCATAAAAATCAAGAATGTCAGTTCAATAAAGCTGGGAAAAGCAAAATACATGTGAGGATATGCGGTATTTGCAATTAGGTAAAAGTTGTGTGTACATCAGAATAACTGCCAGAGACAGGAGATTCAGGACGTATGTTGTACTTAAAGACCAGTTCCTTCTGTGCATAATAATCTCCTTCTCTGTGAATTACACATTATCCAAATAATCTGTAGATATGCATGGATCTATACAAATGCAAGGAGAAAATTTCAAGTTTATATCATTGCCTTGCAGACTAAACTAAGCCTAGATTGAATACATAAAAATGCATACATACTCATCCCACGTTTACCCTTTTAGGATAAATAACATTACAGAAAATGAATAAGAAACAGTAAACCAAAGGAATTAAAGGCATGAGATAAGGAAAGGAAACACAGCTAAAATTAGTTCACAACAGTACCATTAATTATACTTTTACCTTTCCATACCTTTCTATTCTTACAAACTCAAACTTGCTTCTACCACATCCATTTACTGATTCATACATTGCCTTTGATTTTTAAACTTCTCACCTTTCTCTTCAGAATCTCAACTCCATCCAATTACACCTTTCGTCTCAAGTCCTTCATCCTTCCCTGTTTCCTTTGTTTTGCCCTTCCATCATTATTCAACTTTCTCATATTCACCTCAAAGTCATGTACCTTTGTATGTGATCCATGTTAATTTAGCATTCTTGACTGAACTCTTATTGTTTTAACACACACACACACACACACACACACACACTCTCTCTCTCTCTCTTAAGTAGCACACTCCCATGGCTTACAATTTACAATTATGTT